TCGTTGGTTATTTGAGGATGTGCTCAGAGCACATGATCTCAGAGCATTCCCAGGAGACAGTCTTGATGAGTCTTGAGGATGATAAATGACTAACTCATTTCAGTAGGATGTTTGCTCAAAATTCATGGAACTCTACGTAAATACGAATATATATTAATTTTGAACACTACATTAAAACTCAGGTCCATTTCTGAAAAAAAATATTGAAAACAAATGTGTGGACGCTTTTGTGAGGCAATGAAGATATGTGTGGTCTCTAACCTCATGTCCTGTGAGAAGACTTTCCAAATATTGTACTTTGCTGAACAATCAGACTGACAGCACACATTTTTCTTTATATTAGTTTGTGGTTCCTGATACAATATTTTTTCAATGCCTTTTCATTTCTGAACAAATACAGTAAAAGTAATACAATTTTCTGTTCACAGTAAGCCCCCATTTAGCCATTTCTGAATTAACTGTTGAGAGAAACCCTGCAGAGTGGAGGATAGGGAACAAAATGACCAACTATGTGATAAGAGAGTTCTGGCTTTCAGAAGGGAGGTGGTGGGGGCGCTGAAGCCTGGGTATCAGTCACCAGGGGTCAATGAGTTGACCAATTTTACAATGTAATAAAACCTTCATAAGCCCCTATGTGATGAGGGCTGGTGGGTGTATGATAGTGCAGAGTGGGTATTTGGGACACCCCTGAATGGACCGGTCACCCCCACATTGTCTGTGGTCCTCACCCTATTCTGTCATGTGTTCCCCTTTCCTCTCACTGATGTCCTGCTATACTGTAAGAACTAACCATCTAAAGTAATTCCTAGAGTTTGTGAGCTGCTGTGGTTAACTCTGAGGCTAGAGCAACCGGGTATGGGGAACGCAGACATAGATGGGTTGATCAGAACCTGGGGCGACAATCTGGGCTTTGATTGCTTCCCAAGGTAGATCTGGAGGAACCTGCCCTAAATTTCTGCACATCACTGTATGGATTCTCTCACTCATTAGCATTAAAAAGTAGGAGGTGCACTGTTGGTGTCTGGGGTGAGAATGTGGGGAAAAAACACTTACAAATGTGTCATAATAAGTATTGTGTGCTTCTTTTAAAAAGAGTTTCAATTTTCCATTTTACTTAAAATAATAAGTATTCTGTGGAGAGAATACTTAAGTAGGTAAGAATGGGCATTTCAACACCAGTCTGACAAAAATAAGAGAGAACCAATACATTCAAACTATGTTTAAGTAACATGCTTGTCACTGGCCTGCCCCGTGGCAAAATGAAAGGACTGAACATTTTTGTAACATTTCTATGCACCTAGTCTTACTATATTTCTTCAGTGATTCCATTTATCACATCTCTGGTTTTACTCAGCAAACTGAAAGGGATCTGTGTCCTGGAAAATACCAGCTACATGTTTATTCATGTAAAAGGGAGAGGCATGTTAGAGATGGGTGTCTTTCAGGTAACTCTGATTCAGAGTTATCCTCACTCCTGTCCTACATAATAGAAGCGTGAGGATTGCCAGCCTCTAGACTTCAAGATAGCAGCTTACATAAAACCCCCAATACTTAAAGATAGATTTATTTGAAAGGGAGAAAGGTCTAACATTGCTGTTTTATTATAATTTTTTTGTTTAATGCTCCGATTGGACTGCAGGAACCCCCCATATGCAGGGCATGTGTTTTCCACAGACCTGCTCCCCTCTCCTAAGGACAATTATTTTAATAAAAATTCCAAAGGAATGTCACTTCAGCTTTTGACAAACTCCAAACTTAGTATTCTCTATAATAACATAAAAAGATAGCTAGCTAGGATTGTCATTTCCACCTTCTATTTAAAACTCAATATTTCTTGCATATTTTCTAATTCTTCAAATATAATGGTATGTATGTGTTTTTCTGTGGTACACACTTATGTGAAGATATATGCATGTGTGTACATGTGAAGCACAGAGATCAACATAGATTGTCATTCCTGAAGTTCTCTCTACATCTATTTTGAAACATCAACACTCACTGGACTCTAGCCCACCTAGTAGGCTAGGCTGGGTAGCCAGTGAACTCAAGGAATCTACTGCCTCCATATCCTCAGAGCAATGATTATAAGTATATTCTATTATTCTAGAAGCTTCCACGTAGATTCTAAAGACTTAACTCAGGTTCACATAGTTACAACTTAAGTACTTCACTGAATTGAGTATTCCCCTTGCCCCTAGATAGTCTTGACACATTTGTTTCCTTAAACCGTTATCCAGAATACAAACATTTTATTTTGGAGGTACTATTTATTAGTTCATATACCAAACACTGTGGATCTGTTGATATAATTGCTTCTTCCATCATCATCCAGCATGAAATATTTAGTAAATATTAATATGTATACATAGACAGACACACAAAAGAGTTCTCATACATGTGCAAACACATTTTACGTTGCTTGTCTATGAGACCAGTGGAGCATAGACTTGCTGAGTCAACTTGGAACAGATGGTAAGTGAAGCCTCCTTTCTCCAAGAAGACCCTCTCTTATTTCACACTGTGAAATAAAATGTTCTAATCAATAGCTTTTATATATTACCACCATGCATCTCTACTAATGGAGGACAAAAATGCCTTCCAGTTCCAAATATGAAATAAATGAATGTACTATTTTAGGCAAATACTAAGGGAGTAATGATAGGGCTAGTTTTAAATCGTGGGAATGATTTGAGACCTTAAAAGAAAATTGAAGGTTTAACAAATGGGTCCTAAAATAGTAAGCCTATTAAATCTGCACTTGGTTCATACAAATGCATGATAAGAAATATGTAATGAAACTTGGGATAGTGGAAGGAGGCAGGGAGAACTATTCTTCATCATAGATGGGGAAATGGGCTGCATCAAACTTTTCCATATAAAGAGTGAGTGTGAAAGATCTGAACTGTGACTGATGGCTCAGTTCATCAGAGGGCAAAGGGAAGCTTGCCTAGGTAAGGTTTTCAAGTTCTACTCTGTAAGCATAAGCTTTCAAACTTCCCTTCTTAATTTATCGTTGCTCTCTTGGTGACTGCAGAAATACCAACATAGTTTTCACGTAATAAATATCTAATGAACGCCAAAATTATACAGAGAGAGAACCTCATAGATGATCATTTCAGAAATCAACAAGTCTCTCTTTACTTTTGAAAGTTAACTATGTACAAGCAAGCATAAATACATAAACTAACAAATAGCATCATTTCCCCCTGTTCAAATACTGTGAAAAAGAACAGACGATAACAATTACTGGACCAAGCAATTACTTAAGAAACATGTTCTTTTGGAAGATGTAGTCATGCCATGATATGGCTTTTCTATAATCATTTTCCACATAGAACTTCATTTCAGTACAGTTTTAATAAATAAACCAAGAGTGAGAGTTAAAAATTAAATCAAGATGTCTGTTTAAGAGCTTCCTGTGGCTCTTCAGATTTTCATGTTTATACTGCAGAATTCTTCTCCACTGCTGTTGTCTTTATAGCTTTGGATAATGCAGAAATGGAGACAATACATGAAAGAACCACCCCAGCCCCACATCTGTGTGGTACAGAAGGTTAGGCTAAGTGTCAGTATGTGCTTCACCAAAGCCTCTCAGTCAATGAAGATATTTGGCTCAGACATAAAGATAATGAGTCATAGTTCACCAGGCTGCATGGCTAACACTTCTGCCCCAGACTCCTACCATCCTGAAATAATGCCTGCTTTGTGGCTGCGCCACACTATTGTTGCGATTTAGAGGTTGGAGTTGATATCCTTGGAGGCAGCAGATCAATTACTCCCTTATTGGTTTGCTCATTAAAAAAAATGTCTTCAGTAAATATTTACTATATGTCACATCACATTCCATTTTACCCAGGAATCTCTGCTACACACATGTATCAGGGAATATATAGCAATTAGCATGCAAAATTGAGTACAAAGTGGTGTGTATAAGTTTAGGAAGTGAGTTGACCAAGGACATACTGCAATAACAAAGGGGAATTAGATTTAAATATGGTGGCACACTTTCAGATAAACAATAGCATGAAAATGATGTTGTAAAATTGTTTACTAGCATAAACTGTCTCCACAATGTCTAGAATAAAAATACATGCATGTCGAAGAATAGCTTAGAAAAAAAAAGCATTATGTGATATGTGTATATTAAAATACTGTTTAATCCCCTTTTTGTTAGCTTGTTTAGTTTGGTCACTACAAATGTGTACCTATGGTAAATAACTAAGTATAGGAAAGGTGTATAAATTGCTGAGATATTAGGGAAACACTGGATAGTATGTGATGCTTAACTTATTCTGTATTAGTGTTTGAAGGAACCACCCTTCCTCTATGTTATCCAATTCCAACTTTTCTTGTTGTCTGCACCATCTACTGACCATTTCTGTTCTGTTTTCTAAATGCTGATTCTCAGTGAATATTAAGGAAAACCCAAACGTTGAACCACACAGTGTGCCTAAAGAAATATCACCTGTCTTTTAGCATCCATTTCTAAGCTGCTTTGCCTGCCCATGATAATAATCTGTCTTGCTTTCCCGACCAAAAGGCAGCTAATTGACTTGGGATATGCAAAGCAAAATAGGAGCAGTAAAGTCTAAAATTAAAAGGCATTTCAGAGGTGAAAATACTCCAGGGGAATGACCTAAGTGTTTTCCTATGGTAAAGATGGAAATGGGTGACTGGTGGGTTTGGACTACTGGTATATCATGAGAAATAGAAAAAACAATAGGTAGAAGAGCCTTGCAGAGGTCAAAAGCAAAGAATCCCATTATGCATTTCCTGTGCAAACTCTACCCTCAGGATCACATCTCATTCCTTTGAAGGGAACATCAGGGATTCTGAATGATGTCCTTCTCTCTCACTCTCTCTCTCTCTTTCTCTCTCTCTCTCTCTCTCTCTCTCTCTCTCTCCCTCCTTCCCTCCCTCCCACCCTCTCTCTCTTTCTCCATGAATGTCTTTGAAATATAATAAACTGGGAATGGTCACTACTCATGGTAAAATTTGTCTTTATTTCCTGTGGAGAATTCACTCTCAGTATAGTTCCTCTCAAAAGGAAATCGAGTGTCCTGTCTGTCCATAGTCCAATGGACCATGGCATGACTCTCTTGAACTGCTCACCTGGAAGCCTTGGAAGTATTCTCTGGAACCTTTCACCTCTCTATTACAAGTCTGAGAAGTACTGTGAAACACAGAAGTCATGAGAGAGCTAAATGTTTTGATCAGAAAGCCATAGAGCACACCCTATACTGAGTGAGATATGTGTGGGATTTTATTATGACCCACATAACATCATTAGGTATCTCTGGGTGTCACAAGAGAACTTTGTGGGAATTCAGAGCCAAAACTTCAGCTTAATACTGAAATATGATACAAAGTAATTTATGAAGAGATTTATCTTGATTTTCATATGTAACTGATCAAATATAGAAGCAACACACATCAGGTATGATCATATCAATTATATTTGTGTTGCTTTCTATCTTTGAAAAAGGATAGGTATGAATTATTTTCTTTTCTACTTAGCAACTAAAACAGGCCTCTTTTATTTTATTCTACCTTCCAGATCATTAACTAAGAACTATAAAGGGGTATATTAGTGATAAGTGAAATATAGAGTTTGGCAAAGATAGTCTCTGAAAAAAAAAGTAAGTTGGGAAAATCAGAAAAAAAAAAAACTCTTCATTTAGCCAAAAGAGTATTCTGCATAGTGGATAACAAGCAGGAATGGGCTGAGACACTGAACAAAGAAAGGATAAGAAAGGATTCTGGTGTCTAAGAAGGTGATTGCTTCATGCTGCCGGACTGCTGTCCGGTGGAGGGGGTGTAAGGTTAAATGGAATTGAGTGGGTGGTGTTATAACCTCTTTGGAGTATAGATGAAGGGTCCGTGGGTTTTAGAGGGAGGAAGTACAAGGAGTGGGGTGGGGGCAGAAAGACCTGAAAGGTGAGCAAAGATTCATGGTTTGAGTAGCTGAAATGAGGAGTATCACTTTATGGAAAGTGGTTTCTGTAGTGAACACATAATATACAACACAGGGCAATAGGAAAAAAGTAAAGATAACCAAATGGGTTATTCTAATTTCCCCCTGATGTTGTTGTTGAACATTTTCTTTTCATCACTAATCAGTCTCTAAGTCATGAGCAACTTCCAGGTCATTTAGGACAAGAAATAAAGCTATGGTTGAGATTTTAGAGAAATTTTCAAAATTGGAAAAACTGTGTGTGTGTGTGTGTGTGTGTGTGTGTGTGTGTGTGTGTGTTAGCATTATACTCTCAGGGTTCCATTCAGTTTTTAAAAATGCAATACAGGATAACCACCACCCATTTCTTCCCTAACATCTGCCCAGAGCCTGTTACAGATAAGTTAACTTTTAAAAATCCATTATGCACCTCGAAATTACTTCACTAATTGTGTTATCAGTGTGGAAGAATTGGCTACATTTCAGCATAAAATATAAATGGATCTAACTTTTCTCATTAATATTTGATGCGACATGGTTTAATTTTGAATTGAAGCAGAACCCCGAGGAGGTCCTGAAAGGATAATTTATAAATGTGAATTTAACCGCCGAATGATAAAGTAAATCTTAGCTTTAGTTTCTCTAGGTGAGTGTGCCTTGCTGGACTTCATCAAGAGAGAAAGAGCATTCTGTTAAAAGTATTGTACCTCCACTTCTCTGGTAGAGATGGAATTGGCAGCTTCTTCTTCAGTATTATTTTCATCATGTGCCTGGTGAGGAGTCATCAGATGCCACATACATGCCAATCTTGACCACTGCCCCCCAAAAGACTAATTGGTTCTGTCTGGAACATGGAGCCTTGGCATTGTCTGATGAATTATTCCTGTTGGGTTTATCTACCTTGCCTGTCTTTTGTTTGAATTTTTTAAAATAGAAATGAAGCATAATTAACTGACCCATATAAACAAATTCTGTTATTTTGTTTGAAATTTTGGAGGTGGATGAGCATTTACCTTAATTTTTGGAAAATGGTGCAGTAGGCAGAACATCAAACTGTGTGTTCTCTCAATTGAAAATTGGGTCTTGTAGAAACCATGCTTTTGGGTCAATAACTAGGAAGAACATAGCTTTGGGCCACAGGGCTGGGAGAGACTTCAAGGATCAGGAGAATCTCAGCATGGTTGCTCAAGGGTTTTGCCCTCTCTCCTTTCTTTTGTCTCACGACTCAGAACTAAAAGGAACAATGTGTCTCAATGGATTTTTTTGTACAACTTTTAAAAAAATACAAAACAAAAACAAAAGAGCCCAGAATAGGAAATAGAGCAAGTGCACTAGCTACAGAATTTCATGCTGGCAGTCTAAGAGCCCGGAAGCAAGCATGAAGCCCTACAAGTAAGAACCCCACTTAGCGGCATAGGTTGTTATAGACACAGTTTGGAAGTGAGAATTTAAGAAATGGTGAGAATACTAACCCACCACACCTGAAGGTTCTATCCAGCAGCAATGAAATGCAAGACTCCAGTCAGATTCCTTCAACGGAAGAGAATTTGTGTCTACAGCATGGGTTGCACGCGCCACTCCCACACTTTCTTCTCCACTGACCTTACATTCCGACCAATCTGACGGTGTGTCTGTGAACCTTGGGTGCTCTCAGAGTGATGTTGCTGGAGTTTAAAAAGCCTCTACTTGCACAGCCTCAGGATGCAAAGCTCTAATCTTACTTCTTATAATAAGTCAATTTTCACAGGCAGAATGCCCCACATCTATCTTAAACAGTGATGCTCAGATTCGCCCGTTATTACCAGCTCATGAGTATTTACTCCTATTCCATTGTCTAGATACGGCAAGTTCTAGAATGGTAGCCCTGCAGACTAAAAAGAGTTTGCGCATATAAATGAAGTGTTAAATGGAGTACAAAAAGAAGCTGTCTGTGTTTAGAGTGCTGTGTGGGCTTGCCTCAGGCTCCCATGCTATCAGGAGAGCTCACACTAGTTTTTCTCAAGCTGACGGGAATTCTAATGTCTTGGCACAGGTCACTCACATGAACACCGAAGAAGGTGGAAAAAGTCACCCTTAATATTCTAATTTTCCAGTCCTGTGTGAATTCTAATTCATCTTGTCTATTTATAAATGTTGTTCCAAACCTCATACACACAAATACATCAAATTAAAGATATTCAAATTGGGAGGTTTTTAATCTACAAATGTAGCATCTTATTTGACATTCAGTTCTTTATTTATTAAAGGAGCCATTCATTTTTTGTATGAACAGAAATTAACACTATATCAGCACATAATGCCCATGGACAAATAAAAAAATCAGATCTAAAGAACAAAAATACTATGGATCTGGAGGGATAGTTCATCAATACAACAATAACACTGTTAAAGTAATATAGACATAAACTTTATGTGTGTAAAGCACTTAATGTCTTTGCCTTGTTGGTAACTGAACTTCTACGAGCACTCTCTCCCATACATGAAGCCCTCTCCTTGAATGCATTCACATAGAATACTCTCATTTTAAAAATCAAAATGGAGTTGACATCTCTACTGGATAACTCTCATGAGTGACTCCCCCTATAGATGTGGTTAGGGATACCAAAACCAGAGAAGCTGAGGATGTTGACAAATCCCATCAAAAAAGATGTGCCCTGGAAAGATGCTTCCTGCCTGTAAAATACTGGGTTTTGTCCTCTCAGGCACCTTTTATGAGGTGGTGTCAAATCTCTTACCAGAACTCATAGTAGTGTCATAATCACCTCACTTAATGAGAAGAACACAGTCCTGCAGGCAGAGAGAACTCAGGAGTTAATTGTGCAGCTTCAGAGAGGCAGATCACATCTAAACTTCCCCTTGACCATTTCTGTATCTTAGTATGCCTGGAGACATATTACCAAGACCAGGAAGGTTAGTCATTTTCAGCAGTCTATATCTGGTTTTCCAAGTTTCTACCAAAACAGGACAGATTTTCACAGTCACTCACAATTCCTTCTGCATTCTTTGGATTCCCCTCTGTGAGATGTTTCAGAATGAATGGATATTCAGGAAGAAAGAAATACTGGCATTTAAAGGAATATTGATAGGCCTATTGCATAATGTTTTCAACTTACCTAGACTAAGGAATGTGGGCAGATGGAGGAGTATTCAGAATAGTCCCCTCTTTTAAAAGACAACACAGCATGGGACTATTTTTAAGAGGAGCTGTGCTTTCAGATATTGTGACCATTTAAAGTTTCATAGGAACACATCATAAACCAACTTAGAAAAGACCCGCTGGGTGGTAAGTAGACTTCTCTTTGAGATCTTCTTCTCTTGTCCATTGATTGTCAGTCTGTAATCAAAGCAGTATCTATCAGTCATGCAGGGAATTATATAGTTAGGGAGAATAGCAATGACAGGTCCTGTGACAGATTAGATGTTCTGAATGATATTCTCAACCAGACAAGCAGCATCCTGATACTAGATTTTAAAAACATGTCTTTTCAAGCAAATCTTTGGACTAATGTAAATTGGACAACTCTACAGATCCTCTAAATATAGGCAGTTGTAATTTGACAGCTTGCACAAAACATGGGCAAGATTAAGCCAGAGAAAATGCTGGCATGAGTGGGGAAAGGGGGCACTAAAACCCACCCCTTAACCAAGGAGCTGCTATTGTAATTGATGGCAATTGCAAGAGGGGGAGTCAGTTTTCTTCAGGGATGTGTCCCTTGCCAAGCTACCCATTCTGCAGAAGACGGCCCTACACTGTGGCAGCATTATCTAGACTGAGAAAAAAATTTTAAAGATCATGAAATTTGGAGGGAGTAGTGAAGGGATTTGGGAAGATTTGTAGGGGATTTTTTTCAACACATGTTATATGCATGTATGAGATTATCAAACAAACAAAAAAGCAATAACAAATCATTTAGAGCCAACTGTGGAATCATAGGATTGCCAAACTTTTTTTTTTTTGAACTCTGACTTCACATCCCTGAACCTCACACCCTACTTGGGTATTGAAATTTACCTCACACATATCATTAGGGAACTAGAGACTACAGCCTTGTTCCAAGTGTTGAGGCAGAACATACTGTTCAGCACACCTACAAGTACATATGGATATCAGAGCTTGAGGGACACAGTTTATTCTGAAAATGTGCAATCACAAAGCATCAATGAAGTTCATTCAAAGTAGCACTATTCGCGTGGCCTGAACAATTTTGAGTATGAATTTAGCATACCTGTCCATCATGTGATGACGTTTTCAAGTATGTTCCTTGATTTATACCCCAATTGTAAGCTACCTTTAATGTTAAAAAAATCAGTCAAAAGATAGACTACCTAAAAAATAAGGGTTAATATGATGAATAAACTGTAAAATGTTTGAGTAACTACTACTAAATAAATAAATAACAGCTTAAGTTTGCTTGTTACAAAAATCAACTTGCCATGTGTTAATACTGTCAAGGGGATTATAGGGTAACCAACTGATTACTATGTAGATCTGAGAATGAGATCTAACAGGGTTAGGGGGAGGGAATCTGTGTCAGGTTCTGAGGACCAGATCAGAGGTTCACAGCTAGGAAGCTCATAGGCCCTAGTGTAATCTGTGAATGAGATCTGGAAAATAGTTTCTAAATTATTTGAAGAAACTCATGGTTTATCTATACAAATTACTACATTTCTATTTATGTATTAACTTTTGTAGTTAATAAAGTTGTTAATTTGCTTAGATTTCTATATTTCCCAAACTTCTAATTCAAGTCCTGTGTGACTTTTCTAAAAAGCATAATAGGATATATGTTTACTTGGAAATGTATATTACATCCCACACACTTTCTTGACCCAAGCACAAGGGAAGACACACCGCTCTCCTGGGACATTATCATAGTTCCTTTCATCTCTATATGGGCAAATTAGGTAACTATAATACCAGGAAAGTTCTACTATAAAGCTTGTCATCTCAAGCAGTTATAATGTGTTAGAGGTCCTAAAAGAATTTTTCTTGTTACTTTGGGATCTATCATCTGTCTATCATCTATCTGAAAGTTAATAAACACCAAGCACACACATTGAGTTTGTGGATCTTAGAACTCTATTCCCATTTCAACTCTACAGGTGAACCGAAAGGGGTATTGGAGTTGCCTCCTGTGTAAGCTCTGATATAACAAAGGCAGCCAGTAGTACCAATGGATGTCCTTTACCAAAACACAGCATTGCCATTTGTGCATTTTACCTTCAGAGCAAGTAGATTATAGCTTCTAACTAGTGTGTGTGCAGCCACTGAATGTGGGCATTTTTGCAAACAAGATTTATTTTAGTTAGTTTTTCTAATTGATAATGGGGAGAACGGAGAAGATGTTGAAACTAACTTACATGTACAATGCCCAGAGATATCTTTTACAATTTTTATACAATGTTGAAGATGGTGTCTCTAGATATTTTATGATATTTAGCTTCAGTTTGTGAAAATGGATAATCAAATTCCTTTTCTCCTTGTTTGGAGTTTTATAGACCCACAGGGGAGGCAGATGAGCAGAGCAGATCATTTGAATCAGGTGTTGTAAAGAACCACAGTGAAGAGGTGTTCAGAGTATTTAAGAGAGAGAAGGATATAAAAAAAAATGGAGCATCCAGTGTGATATGTTGTGGGATGACAGACTGTGAACAGGAAAGTCAACCTGTGGACAGGGAGGCAGGGAAAGCCTGAAACATTCTCTTTCAATGTCCTTACCCATCTATCTTCATGATGCCTTCTGATACATAGTTGGGATTATTGCTGGAAAATAAAAAAATAATAAAAATATTTAACTTCTAAGCTGTGCCATGAGACATCATGGCAGGTGGCATGAGAATTTTGAAGGTATTAATTTCAATTTAACCACACTTATAGAGGATTACCCATGAGTGGCTTGGGTTCTGCTCTTGACTGCCATTTTATTTATTTATTTTCCCTGACAGATTGAGAGACTCGGAGCCATTCCGTTGAGTGCTCTAAGTGCCTGGCATAAGTTTCCAGAGAGCTATTAATTCCCCTTCTAGTCTAACATGCAGCTTTTTTTGAGTGGTTTAGAAGCAAAGGCACAGTCCTATATCCACACCCATGGCTTACTTTTATCCTCTATTTCTGGATCGTGAGCACCACTCACCTTGTAGCACGGCTTGACACACTCCCCTTAATGGCACTATTTGAAAGATTCCCTATGTTGTGTAGAGTAGAGCCTATTTCATTAAGCATGTCAAAACATCTAAGTAGAAGTTGTTTTTTTTTTAATACCATTTACTCAGTAAAAGTAAAAGTAAATTCATTTCCACAATATTAGTGAATCAAAAGTTGTATCTCTGCTGGAAAATAAGTTACATGGGGCACAGAGAGCTCAGTCTTGGCAAGCGAGGTCGGAGCTTTAGTCAAACCCTGTGCAACTGAAGAGAGTAGAAGCCTGAGCCAAAGTACCCAGACAGATCTGCATAGTCCTCGCTGATGAGCCAGGGGTGAGGCTGCCTATGAACCTGACAATTAAAATGACCCATTTCCTTCCCAGTGCCTGTCTCCATATTTGCTGAGAGCTAGAAAATGCAAATTTTGTGACCCATTATGCTCTCCGTTAATTAAATGGTAAGGTATCTGATACTGAAGTTAGGAAGTTGCATGGAATGCTCTTGAATGCATACTCTAGCTTACTGCCATGCCTCTTTATCTTTTCAACAGAAGGACAAATGTCTCTGTTTGGAGAAGGAAGGCATCTACTCGTTGCTACAGGAACCAAAGAACAATTCCCTTTCCACTGGCAAAAAGGGAGAGTGAAGGGGCTGTGGGATAACTTGACACCTGAAATCTTAATTGGAAAAATGACTTTGAAAATATTTTCTTGAAAGACTTCTCTATTACCCGATTCACTTCTTTTTTCTAGCAACAGTAGAAAGGAAAAGTTAGAGCCTATTCTCTAATCTTTATGAAAGCTGTTCTTTTCATAAATGAGTCTTGGTCTGTATCCAGACATCATCAGGTTTTAGTCAGCAAACCTCATGCCAGCCATATATTAGATTTAACCTCAGCAACTTACAGATTGAAAAGTCTTCATGTCACTGGCAGACCAGGGGTTTTAAAGTAGCAGCTTTGGAAACTAATGTTCATTGTTCTTTTATGAAAGAAATACATATATGCATTTTCACTATAAAATGTTTGAAAAGGCCGTAGAGATAACGAGACAGTATTCACACTCCACCCCCGTTTTATACTGTTTTATACTAATTTCTTGGCAGTAGTCAAAAGCAGTCACTTGGCAATGAATAATCTGAAACATTTTCTTTTCTGCTTTGCTTACTCATGTACAATAATTAGTAAGTATTGGTGGTGAAATTGCTTTTTAAATCAACAAATGAAAATGGTGTCTTCCAACAAACAACTGAACAAGGCACTTTTTGAAGTGCTGAGACTTGGACCCAGTCTCCTTCTTGCTAGGAGAATGCCACCATGAAGTTGAGACAATAGCTCCCTATATTTCTACTGATTTACCAGAAAATGTTGCTTGTCCTCATATCTTGTTACGCCCCTTTTTTCTTCTCCCCCTCTATTTATAAACTCACTGTTTAGTCTACATATCTGTCTCATCTTCTTTTAGTCCTTATTGGATGTAGCTGCTATTTCCAGATTTCCCTTCCTATATTTAGAGATCTGGTTTAGTTCTGCCCTGCTGTTGCTTCTTTCTTACCTCTGTTGTTAAGTAGGAATTATATCCTTCAGAGAAATTGTCCTTGGAACTTTCTCCAAAACAGGTAGTATTTCAGGACATAAACAACTCTTCAAAGGAAAAAGGGGGAGCATTGACCATAATGAAATTGCAGCAGAAATCAGTAGTAAGAGCACCTAAAGAGAATATAAAACTATGAAAAATTTTAGTGCTTTTGAATGATCAGTGGATTGTTTTAGACATATGAGAGACATTTTAAAGTTCTAGAATACACTGAAAACAGAAATTCCATTTACCAGACTATGAGAGATTCATTGGAGACATACATAACATAAAAGTTTATACCTATGAATGACTATGGCATAAAAGAACAATGGGCTGGAGAGATGGCTCATTGGTTAAGAATGCTTTATGAACTTCCAGAGGGTCTGGGTTCAGTTCAGGTAACTTGCTACAACATGTAATTCCAACTTCAGGATATCAGGAACCCTCTTCTGGTCTCTGTGGACACCTGCAGCACATATGCTTATACAAATACAAAAGTTCACACATGCAAACACATTCATGCATGGGGAATAATACAGCTTAAAACAAAGTCATATATGACAAATAACCTAATGATGTATTACACTTCATTGTCTTGGAAAAATGAGAACAAACTGGACTCCACATTGTTGGAAGAAAATAAATGCTAAAATTCAGACCTCAGATTATTAATGAGGAATGACATAAAACCCTGAAGAAGAAACTGTTTTATTCTTTGGATGGGTAAAACAAGAGTGGCAAATCATTAGCCAAATTATTCAAAGTTAATAAAACAAAATCAGTTTTTAAAAGTGCCAGAAACAATTCCATTGAAAGAAAAGAAAGGTTAAGAGATGTTTGGAAAATCTGTATTTCGATAATCAGAAAACCAGGAAGAAATGAATAAATTTCTAGACATAGCAAAGAGGACATAGAACAATTGAACAGATTGTCGACAGGCAATGAGATCAGAGCAATTATAGAATTTCCAGGGAAATAAAATCTCAGGATCAACAGGATTCACAGCTGCATTATGCCAACCTTAAAGAAGAACAATTCTTTTGCTCATACTCTTTTATAGCCTATAAATAAAAGGGACCACACCACCTCATGGGATCAATAGAAATCAACACTACTTAAAAATTACACAAATAGTGAGCAAACAGATAACTGAAGGCATTGCCTTAAATGCATCTTGGGATCAACATATTTAGCTTTTGCTCTGTATGCTGACTCATTTCCCATCCCTTCTCCTGGTGCACAAACCACCAAATAGCCCAAGCCTATGATTCAAACCCAACTTGTCTTAAATATACCTTCCTTCTCCTTGGATATAACTTTTATTTTGTTTTTATTCACCTAAACAAGAAGGCAGAAAATCATATCCGTGTTATATTTTGAGTGTTCACAATAAATAAAGGATGGGTAGATCAAGGTTGTGAGTTTAAGCAGTGTAAAATCAAATTCAGGGAAAACAGTCTAGGTTAATAGGAGCACACTTTTAAATAACTTACTTCCAAGCCTTCTGGCTCAATTAAAAGAAGCTCTTCTGTTACATATTTGAGAACAGAGTATGTTTCTATTCTAATTTCTGTTTATCTGACTCAGTGAAAATATTACACATGCAAGCATAACGTCAGCTATGATGATGTCATTTTGCTCATATTTATAAATTCTGGAAACATTACTAATTTTAATTTTGGAATGCTACCATTGTTTTTAGTTATTTCCCAGTTTACAAAAGGAATAGGAATAGAATCAATATATTGGCTTCACTATTTACTTAAATGAATGAGACGTTAAAAAAAATCATGTTTTTGTCAGGCCATGTGAAAGGTTAGAATCCAAGTCACCTAGAGTATGATGTAGAGTACCCAAGGTAGAGTATAAATTGATACTCTGTGAAAGATCAAATGTAGATGCTTATGTATGGCTCTTAGCTCTTGCATAAAACAGCTTCCTAACATCCTTGAGGATATTTTGTTGAGAAAATATGGTGGGAAATAAGTCATTCCTTCATGTATCCACAATGAGCTCACAATAAGCAATAGTTGCTAATGTCCATGATGGTGACATGGTAATGAGGAAAAGAAAAGTCACATTGATTCACTTGACAAGAAAGCTTTTGATTCTGAAAATTTCTTCTGTAGCAGTGTGGTTATGACTGGTCAAGCCCAACTGTGATGCCATGCTTAGTTGCTACTGAGTTCCTACTGAGGTTTACTGTAGTGGGAATGAAAGTAAGTTTCTGGTATCTTAGTGAAGCCTGAAATATTCTCAACTTTTGTGGAGGTCACCTTATCAATTACTTTACTTTTGAATTTTTTAATTTTAAACATATTTTAAAATTTGAACCTCTTGTCTCTGTCATGCTTCTAAGGCAATTTAAAGTGACCTCAAGGACATATCTAAGAATTTATTTATAGATGTGAAAGCTTAAGGTCACATTTGTTTACATGTATTTAGTACTTATATATACTACACACAAAAATGTACTACATATTTTACATAGTATGCACACTCGCATACACACACACCAACAAATGGAATTTATAGATAATATCTTATGTAACTTAAAGTCAATTGATATTTATATTTTATTTGTTATGGATCAAACTTCCATATGTTGCTGATGTAACATAAGTTGTCCTTGAAATCAATGCTCTAAAAAGAGAGCAAAACAATAAAAAGACATTGACACTGAATACAAACTTTTAAAAATAGTTTGTAAGTTTTTAAAAGACATGGTAAACAGGAAATTATAATTCAACAAGGATTTACTCTTTGAGGGACAATGACTTCTAAGCCCGTGACTAGTTTTAAAGTTCAAATACCCATTTAAGAAACTTCCAGAAATGTTTATCATTTAAGATGTCATCAGATCCTGCTTTCATATTCCTCTAAGCTGAGCTGTCAATTATCTGTTGGTGGTCTTGTATGGCAGCATTACTGCCATACATGAGAACTGCTAACACATGAGAGGGATGGATTTTGGAGGTGCCAAGAACATGTACATCCTAAAATGGATGGTGGCAGAGGTTCTCAAGTATGAATCACATGTGAGCACCTGGACAGCAAGTGTTCTCATGACAGAAGGGCCTACTCACGTCATCCTTGCAGCAGTGCAAGAAACTGTCATGAGTCACTTCATCCTGAGTGTGCCCTTTTATCATCGAGGTTATAGCTTCTGTCTTCTGAGATATATTACGAGAAGGAAGAGTTAAAATTCAATGACTAGATTGTTTGGAAATATTGTCAGAAATCCTCGTCCATGCTATCTACATTTCATGTATCACAACTATGAGAATGGTCAAGTCTTACATTGATTTATCAGGGTCTCTCTTGTTGGTTAGTTGCCTGGGGGAATTCTGACATCATAGAATGACATCATATGGGTGGTTTTCTATAGACTCTCTTATTTTCATTGTTATTAAATTTGTGGCCATGTAAAGATTTCATTTTCATTGTTTAGTGTTTGGAGACTGTGAAGATACCCCAGGAGCATCCCAATTCAATACAATGGAAGTTGAGGGCCCCTGGGCATCACACTGAGAATACACCTGCTTTGTGGGTCAGTTCAGTAGGCTAGATACAGGGCACAGATAGTGCACAAATGGGCATTTCAGCCAAAGGTTTCTACAGAGATCAAAATGAAGCAATCGACTTTCTCATTTCATGTTAGCTCCGAGAAGTGAGAGCTGATACTCAAAGATTTTGTTCATCTGTTCTTCTTATAGCATTGCGAACCCCTGTGGACAGGTTCAACCTGGATTAACTCACTAAATGCACATGTAATGTGTATCATTTATATGGAAATGACTTTCACCTCATACAGAATTACCAAAAGAACTTCCTTCTAAATGGCCTATGCAGGGTATTGTAAGGGAGTCAGATACAGGTAAAATTAAACATAGATTTTATAGATTTATAAACTGGCTCAATATATTTGTTAGAAACACCATTATTACAAACAAGTAAAGATAGATAGATAGATAGATAGATAGATAGATAGATAGATAGATAGAGATACGTATCAAACTATTCTACTATCTTCTCACAGAAAACAAGCCTCACCTCAAAATTAGTCCAATTGCAAATCCATACCTGGCCCACGTTCCCACTTATTTATTCTAAAAGCTAACAACAGTGAAAGCATTTTTGATTTTTCACTATATCCTATATTCTTTTTTGTCTGCCAGACTAACATTGTATCTGTGTCCTAAAACAATCTTGTCATGGGCATAGTTTCTCATCTTAAAGATAATAAAGTGTATCATGGTATCAAAAGGGTGGACATTACTTGAGGATCCATGGTTGTTGGCAATGAGAGCTTTCTGTTTTTCACATTACAAGGTTACACAGAGCAACCCTGGTTTCAAGCTCCCACCATTGTAGATGGAAGTTTCTGTCCCTACTGGTGATGGAGCTGTTCAGTCCCAAATAAACACATAGAGGCTTATAGAAATTATAAACTGTTCAGCTTATTGCTATGGCTTCTTATTGGTTAGGGCTCTCTTAATTATTAACCCATTTCTATTAATCTGTGTGTCTCCACATGGTCTTGCTTACCTGTGATGCCAGAGTTTCTTGCTTTCTTAGGGACTATATGGCATCTCCCTGGCAAATCACTCTCTGCATTCCTCTTCCCAGAATTCTCCTCTCCTGGTAGGCCTGCCCATACTTCCTGCTGGCTACATCCTGCCTGTCCATTTGCCAAAATAGCTTTATTCCTCAGCCAATAAGAGAAACATGTATTCACAGCATACAAGAGGAAATCCCCCATCACAGTATTCTTCACATAGACTAACACCAGATAAGTTTTTTTTTCCTACAGATCTATTAGCTGTAAAATAGCAGAGCTGATCCCCTATTGTTAAGACCAAACATAACAGCCCATCATGAGCATGCATTAAGCCAAGCGAAGGCTACTTATACCTTTAGACTGGGTTAATTAATCAAGTCCCACGGCCTTACTACCTGCATTCATGATGTACCATGTGGAGTGGCAAACTTGCCAGGATGCAGGGGATGATGCAGAGGCCAGGGAGGGATGCTTTTTACTGTTTTGCTGCGTGTGGCTTGTTCACCTCCTTTCTCATAGCATCAAGGACTATTATTATTCCAGGGGTGACATCATCATCAAGGGGTTTGTCCCCCCCACACACACACCAATTACTATTGAAGAAAAGGCTACCCCACACCCTGATCTTATAGAGGCATATTTTACATTGAGGTCTGTTACGATAAATCTTTCTGCCAAAAGCCGCTGAGCCCCACTGCCACGTGTGAGCTTTACGCCAGCCACCTGCCCGAGTTAGGGCCCAAATGAATACACAGAAACTTGTACTAGGTTCAAAGCTGCTTGGCCAATGACTAGGATTCCTCATCTGTTAGCTCAGTCTTAATTATCATAAATCTATATATTTTATAAGACTTATCTTATTGTTGCCTTATTGGCGTCCCTCCTTGCTGGTGGATCACATCATGCCGCTGGAGCAGGAGCTGAGGGGAAAAGAGAGAAACTTCCTGTTTTCTCGCTTAGATATCAGACTCTTTGCTATGTCACTTCCTGCCTGGATAACCATATCTCTACTACATTTCCCAGAATCCTCTTTGACTTCCAGTCCTGCCTAACTTGCTGTCTCATTGGCCAAGCAAGTACTTTATTTAACAATCAATAACATACACAGAAGTAATTTCCCCATCAGAGGTCTCCTTCTCTCAGATGTCTCTAGCTTTTATTAAGTTGACATAAAACTATCCAGTACAGGTAACAATGTTTCAAATGACCACACTGGATTATTCCCGCCCAGTCTAATGACACAAGATATGGGCAAGCTAGAACAACAAGGTTAACACTTAGAGACTCTTGAGATTTTTGGGTTTGGCTTTGTTTTGTAAAATCCTCTCTGTGTTTCACATAACTCCATAAACTGCTCTTTAATTATTTTTTAAAAAACAGCACCTTCACTTTATGTGTTAACAAGATTGGAATTATAATTACATCTTTTATTTTTCTATGTGTGAGGCAATTTTTTCTGAGAAATTTTTGGCCCTTGAGGAAACTACACTTTATTCCTCTTTGTCATGCTTGGTATTGAATAAGCCAAGGGTACAGTCATTGGCTCAAATGAACTGAACTTTTTTGACCTACAATGGGTGACCTACCAGTCTACTGACAAATCACTTGCACCAGAAGAGACATCTGACCTCACAGCCAGTATTTCCAGATGAATCTGTGGACCTAAGTTGCATGAACTTCATGAACTATAGTCCCCTTCTTAACAGTGTCTTCCAAAATTGTCACTTAGAGCATTCAGTTTATGGAAGAACTACATATAAAATCCACTTTAAGTGCTGATTGCTTTGACAACCTCTACCTTATAGTACCTCACCTTCATCAGACATAATAAGAACCATATTCTCAATGTAAGATTTTAGTGAGGAGCTTTAGTTATAAAACTCAGGAATCGCTTCATACTTTAAAATAGTTTTAATATGCTAAGCATACTCTCAATCCTGCCATCAGTGGCAAGTTTGTTGTTTCCAAAGCAAAGTTATACATAAAAAGATGCTGAGGCATTAAGTTTCTAAAAGATGAGGACTTTAAAAAAATCTTCTGTGACTAGCATTTTGTATAATTCCCCATCAAAAATACTAATTTTGCTTCAAATTTAATATTCGTACCTAATTACTGAAATAGCATGTTTTCATGGTTGACTTCGCTGGAGTTGGCAATGTGCTTGGCTTCCAATGTGTAATATACTGTCTGAAATATTATGTACTCAACTCACTGAACCAAGAAGTAAAATGTTTTAATTTTTACAGGTTTTTTTCATATGCAGCCACGAAGTGTGTTAGTCAGTGGTTATACTTCTGTGTTTCTGTTTTGTGTACAGTCCTAAATGAAACATCTAATTTATAAAAATAGCCTTTTTTTGTTTCTGAGATTAGCTCCTCATCCCTGCCCCCAAAAAAATAACCAGCAATGTTTTTCTGTGACTAGATTCTCCATTCAAGTCAGCATCTGTCATTAATACATTTACCTAACCCCTCTAATTCTTCCTATTACACAAGTGATTTGATTATGTTCTGGACATATTCTTTGCTTTCCTGCTCTTCTCCAAACTCTATTCACTTTCACTCTCTATTTATGGCTCTGCCTAACCTCTCTGTTTATTATTATGAACCTGTTTAGATGTCACCTACTGGTCTAACTTAATTGGTATTTCCTGATATTTGAAAATTGGACATCTTCCACGATGACCCATTGTTTATATTTAATCATTTTTATTAAATAGAATGCTTCCGTAACTCTCCCAGGCTTTCTGTTATAACACAGAATGATTTGCCCAAAAATCTATTTGTTTCTTTGGGAAGATTCCTTTCCCTGTGTGTAAAGGTTAAAATTACACATTTGTTGATAATGATGGTGGTGGCTTGATATCCCAAATAAACACATTTTAGTGGGTTTAAAGATGTTATAGGGACTTTTACTGACTAAATTCTGTGTTCTAATTTTTTTGTTTGTTTGTTTTTGGTTTTTTGAAACAGAGTTTCTCTTTGTAACTTTGGAGCCTCTCCTAGCACTCACCTTAGACCAGGCTGGCCTCAAACTCACAGAGATCTGTTTGCTTCTCCTCCCGAGTGCTGGGATAAAGCCACTGCCCGGCTTCTATTTTCTAATTTAAATATATGTGTCTGGATATCTGTCTTTCTGCATTTCTAACCTTTCAAATTTATCTGATTGAGTTTAAATTGTTCCCCTTCTGGGAAGAACTTTATTTTTTCAGGGTAGAACACCAATATTAGAAAACTCCTTTTGCTTGTTCCCACTTTGATTTTCTTGGCTGCAGGTTTTACTCTCAAACCAGTAAATTTAGAATTATCTGTGTTAACAGTTACAAATTTTAATCATATTTGAGCTGTTGAGCTAGAGGAAATGACTTCTGACTGGATTGTTAAGAAAAAGAAAAAAATGTATATTTATGTAAATCCTGTTTCTAGTTCCAAGGTTCTAGAATTTTGAAAGTAAATAAAGATGGTTTAAGGGTGGTAGGAGAAAGCAAGTGGCAAGTGTCCATGTTTTGGCCAACCCTCATTATTTCTGCGTCAGCATCCAATGGTGTGGCCTAGGCAGGAGGACTTGCTGTTCTGCAGTGTACTTGGGAGGAATGGTTTTAATTGCTTTGGGGGGGGCGGGCGTAGCATTCGATTTCTGTCCAACAAAGCAGTTCTCCCCAGGATCAATATGTAGGATCCCACTGGTAGGTAACTCTAGGAGAAACTCGCCAATCATAGGTAAGACAATGAGACCAAGTGTTACACTTCCTTGATGCAACAAACATCAGAAGAGATGATTCAAGACCACCTTGTGGAAGAAATATGACAAATAGAAAAACATCATTCTCAAGAGTTGAGGTTACTGTTAGACTTTTGCAAAAATATTATATGACTATGCTTTCATTCTGTTTTGGTCTCAGTGTGTAAAGAACACAATAGTTGAGCTGGAGAGTATTTGCTTCTGTTGCATAGGACCCAGGTTCAATTTCTAGCACTTATATGGCAGCCCCGTCCATAATGTCAGTCCCAGAGGGTACTCTGCCCCCATCTAACCTCTGGAGGCACCAGAAATGCATATGGTGTATATGCAGGTGAAACACCCATAAATGCTAAACAATACACAAAGGTATCATGTTTAATCTCAGTGAAAGCTAAAGCTACGAGGATATAGGGTACTTTACTACTATATGAAAGTCAGGTCTATCATGACTAACAACAGTTACTATATATTATATTAATCAATAAATGGTAATACTGTGTCCACTAACAATCAGAATCATGCCCATAGTCATTTATTCCAGGGATGAGAAAATATGTTTATATTCAAATTTGCCTACAAGCAGTTCCAGAAGATTCCACTAATTTGAAAATATCTGAAGTGCCCCTCAATGGCAGAATGGCTAACCAAACTGTAGCACTTTACACAGAGTGATGGTCAGTGAAAAAATGTAGAAAATACCAGTATGCACAACTATGACATATTGAACATTTTAAATCAGTTCCCAAATGCTGCTTATGCGTAGTTATTATATAGCACAAAATTACTGAAACAAGAAAATCAGGAAAATAGGGGAAAAATCAAACATCTGTAATAGCCACATTTAAATCCAAGAGACAAACTGAATAAGTAGTATCTTGTGTGAACACACACACACACACACACACACACACACACACACACACACACACACACGCATGCACCTCTGTATACACACATACAAACATGTATATAAGTATATGATATATGCATATCTGTGTATCAGATGTCAATCTTTTTAGTGGGTAAGTTTGTGCCTGTCTTTGCTCACACCTCCATTTATTGTTCTTTGCATACAAATAGGAGAACCTAGGAGCCTGGGAATGAGAAATAATATGAATTACAACACTGGGCAACATAGAAGAGAGAATTAACGTGCCTTCTCAGGTTGTTGTGACTGGAGAGCAAACAAGAGAAAAGGGACTCCTAATTGCAAAAAATAGTGTACAACAAGGTAACATTAAAATTAAAGTCCAGTTTGAGAGACTAGTTTCTCATTCCCAGACCAGCAATATCCAACTTACCTCTACCATTGCTCAGGTCTCGTTGGTGGTACTGTGAGAACAACATTCCAGCTCAGTAGTAGAATGGACATCTATGGAAATAAACTTCAATTACTTTATTGCCGGTACACTGACTGATACTTGTGAGATATGGAAAATGTGTATGCTGCACTCATCAATGAGGATGGCATCTTGGTGGGACCATGAGATACAGTTAGACACTTACTTCTTGGACATCATCATAACTAATTTTCCGGACGCTGCTTTATGTAGGATGACAGGGTCATCACAGAGTCAGTACTGAGGACTGAACAGAATTCAGTACTTAATTCCAAGACACCTACCCATGATTGTCCCTCCAAACATGGTTGCCAGGACACACCAGTTTCTAGTTTAGTGATGTAAAGTTTCAGTATAATGTTGACATGTGTTCTAATCATAAAATTGCCGGGAGTTGTAGAAACTGAACTTCACAATTTCCTTTTGGTTTATGAATCACAGAATTCCATTGGGGGAATTATGATGTCCAGGCCAGGCACTGGATCATATGTTGATGAACATATTGGCATGATTTTCATCTTTTCCTGAATTGATTCTTGGGGAACTTGTTGGCATTTGGATATATTACTGCTAGGGTCTTCAGTACCTTTGAACATTCTTAAATAATCCAACATTGAAAGATTCTTAATCCAGAAAAAAAATCGAAGGCATCACAAACTTGG